CACACACACACACACACACACACACACACACACACACACGTCAACTGGGCGTGGAGCACATACCTGTAGTTCCAGCTATTTAAAGGCTGAGGTGGAAGGATCACCTAAGCCTAGCAGGTTGATGCTGGGTGGCTGTGAGTGTGCCACTGCACTCCAGCCTGGGTGACAGAGTGAGACTCCAACTTAAAAAAAAAAAAGAGTGTCAGGTCACCTTTGGTTCCTGCAGAAGGATGTGATTAGCTTGTTTGAATGATTCCAGGGGCTGGCAGAAAACTGAAACCCACTACTCAGGGATGAACAGGAACTGCATCTAGTCTGTTGGATAAGGAGAATTAATTAGCTTGGAAACCTTATCTGTAGGAGCGGAGTGTGGAGGGGTCCTTATGGCGAGGCCACGTGAGACTCTCCCAATTTTACCCTGTGTCAAGACAACACATAATATTAATCTTAGTCCTTACATACACATGAATTATATAGGGCTTCCTGGATACCCTTTGGATACCCAGCAATTATCAGATTTGTAGATCATGGTTAGAGATGTATAAATGTCACTTGTGTTCAGAATTCTGTGTGTGTCTGCATTTGAGAGTTCTTAGAGTTGCTACATTCTTTGCTCTTTTTTAGCATGTCAGGTTTTTTGGAAAACAAGTTTTGCTTTAAGTTGTGCACAACTTGATATTCCAAATTCACAGGACAAGTTCTGGGAAACAAAACTTTGGAAGATTTCTAATGAGGCAACTTTCCTTAAAAATACAGATCTTCTTGCTCCCTTTTTATAATTTACTGAAACTTCCTACATGTTAGGCATAGTTCTAGGAGTGTTAGAGTGTTTTATCCTTTATCACACTCCATAGTTTTAATATTATTCTCATTTTATAGATGAGAAAACTAAGGTTGAGAGAAGATGTATAAATTACTCAAGCTCATACAGTGAGTGTGAGTAAAACCAAGATTAAAAGCTAGATCTTCTTGCATGCTGCGTCTTAATACTGTATCATATGGCATGACCTATTTCCTCCGCGGGGGTGGGGGGGAGTGGGCAGGTACTGTATTACTTTGGTTAAGAATTCAGGATCAGGAAATAGTTTGTCTGGATTCAAATCCTGGCTTTCCAAATTACTGGCTCCATGACCTTGAGCAAGTTATTTAACCTCTTTGTGCCTTGGTGTCTTCACCGATAAAGCGGAGCAAATAACGACTCTTACTGTATCTGATAATTAGAAAGAATAAGTAAAATATGTAAAGCTCTTAGAATCATGACCACCATAGAAGCATTTACAAATAGTAGTAAGTAGTCAAAAAATGTTGGATATTTTAATTATTAGTAGCATTATAAATGAGAGGCTTCCCTGACTACTTACCACTGAGTTTATTATCTCTGCTGTCAGGTCACTGACATCAATAAGAAGTGCCTCCAGGTATTAGCAATATTCTTTCAACAATCTGACTACTTAGGGTAGATACAGGACACACAAAAGCACTCAGAGACTACTTACTTGTTCTAGACCAAATTGAAAACCATAGGTTAGCAATTACTGAGTCAACGAAGAATTCCATTTAGAGTACATCTATAGTTATTAAGGAAATGGAACTACAAAATAGCAAAATGTAGCCTGTTTAATAGACTTGAGTTTAACTTATTGACCACACTTCATAGTATAACTCTGTTCTGATATATTTCCTCATTCAAAACTAGCTGCTCTAATGCAGAAGGTAATTAGAACTAGTTGCTGTCAGTAACTTGCTTTTTCATAATTGGAGTCTCTGTTGTTTAGTGAGTCTTGGTTTGTGTGCATCCTTGGACAAAGTCTCGCCATGTGAGTATGTTCCCTTTCCTATTAACCCTTCAGGTAGACTCTAACAGATTGCCTGGTGGCAACTGTCTTTAACTCATATTTCTTTAACCCAGATAAAGAATTGTAGAAATCCAACTTAGAATTGTTCTCTCTATAGGCTGTATTCCCTCAGAGCAGGTGGCAGAGGCTCTTTAAAGATCAGAGGAGGTTGGACTTGGTGGTTCAGCCTGTAATCCCAGTGCTTTGGGAGGCCGAGGCAAATGGATTGCCTGAGCCATGAGTTCGAGACCAGCCCAGGCAACTTGGCGAGACCTCGTCTCTACAATAAATCAAAAATTAGCTGGGCATGATAGCGCGTGCCTATAGTTCCAGCCACTTGGAAGGCTGAGGCAGAAGGATCGATTGCTGGAGCCTAGCAGGTTAATGCTGGGATGACCGTGAGCATGCTACTGCACTCCAGCCTGGATGACAGAGTGAGACTCCAACTCAACAAATACATAAATAAAAATGAAAAAAAGATCAGAGGAGACAGGATCCCTGCGAAAGCCATCTGTGACCCTTTGCTTCCAGTCCTCTAGATACAACTTGCCTTTTATTTCTAACCCCCCTCTGGTCCCTGCCATCACTTCACCTTGCCCTGGACTCACCTTAGCTTACTGTCCTCTCTTCCATGTTCACATCCTGTGGTCTTTTTCTCCTTCCCACTGCTCAAAGATGAAACCATTCTGGAGTGACTCTGCCATCTCTTTGCTGTGCTTCCTGAATTCCGAGGCTGGCTGCAGTCCCCAGGTTTCCTTGAACCCCCTCAGTAATTGCCTCTCTGTACTGTAGAATAGTACTAGATCCCCTCCTCCCACAGGAATCCAGTAACATGTCTAGCCATTGTACAATTCTCGCACTTTAGAGCTTGTGAGGAACATCACCTCCAGTTAGGAGCACCAGAGCTCTTTGGATTTTTCCTTGCTAAGTTGTCCTGGGTTGGGCTTTAGGACACTTGAGCTATGATTGAACTCAGAGCCGGGCTACCCCTTCATGGATAGAACCGTGCAGTGCAAGCCCCCTGAGCAGGCTGTGACATGATGTGACTACTTTCAGAAATTTCCTCTCCTCTGCGCAGGCATTTCCCTTCATTACTGACCACTGTTGCCTACATCTTCTTATCCTGTGGACTTACTGTCTCTGGGTAGATGCTTTGAGCCATTCCTGTATTTTATTGGGTGATACGTGTTTAATTTAAATGTTAAGATAAAACTTAAGGCCAGACTTGGTGACTCAGTTTGTAATCCCAGCACTTTAGTAGGCCGAGGCAAGTGGATTGCCTGAGCCCACCAATTTGAGACCAGCCCGGGCAACTTGGTGAGACCTGGTCTCTATAATAAATGAAAAAAATTAGCCAGGTGTAGTAGTGCATGTCTGCAGTTCTGACTACTTGGAAGGCTGAGGCGGAAGGATCACCAGAGCCCAGCAGGTCAGCACTGGGGTGGCTTTGAGTGTGCCACTGCACTCCAGCCTAGGCAACAGAGTGACACTCCAACTCAAAAACCCCTAAATTCATTGAAAAATACTTTTCCACAGAAGCATAAATTTTATAGCTGCAAGGTTGGATCTGTACTTTCTTATTCATAACTCAGGGAAATGTTGATGTTACATCATCTAAGAGTGCAATATACCCTGTCAAAATTGCAGGATAGAGGACTTGCAAGATAAAATGCAGACTGATTCCAAAGAAACTTCTTGTTTTTAAACACACTCAAGTCAGCATAGGTAAGTGCCTGCTGTCCATAGTTACCAAACCTAGCAGCAACCTGGACTTTCATCACAGTGAACTTTTTCCATTTAGAATTAGAACTGGTTTTTGGTATTTGTGATCTTTTTAAATGGGCTAATAAAAATATGGAAAGCATCAAAGAACATATTTTTTTACTAGTCTTGCCATTAATAATTTCCTATAAATTTTAGGAGAATAGCTATTTACTTTGTATTTCTACTTCCAGCAGGAAAATGAAACAATACTAAGTAAAAACGAGAGTAGATTACTTAAATGGTTTAAAGTTTCATAACTTAGATCCTGTCTAAATATCCTTACACATTCCTAATATCTTGCACAGAGAATTCTGTGTGTGTGTGTGTGTGTGTGTGTGTGTGTGTGTGTATTGCTTGCCCATTACGGATTTCTTTGACTGGATTAAAATAAGCAAATCTTGATTTCCAGAAAGTGTTATCATATTTTCATAAGCCGGGGTGGGGTGTAAATGAACCAAGGGCCTCTTTGTCTTGGAGATATGCTCAGAGCATCTCTGGTGGGTACAGTTACCTGACAGTGCTGTGTTGCTGTGTCCTCTCCCCGCAGGCCTCCATCTGTCGGAGCAGCCAGCCTCTGTCCGGTTTCAGTGCCCGGTGCTTGGAGGACGAGCAGATGCTCCAGGCCATTAGGAAAGCCAATCCAGGAAGCGACTTCATTTACGTCGTTGACACTCGGCCTAAAGTAAGTGTCACCACCGTGGTGAATGTCTTTGCAGCTCTGAGTCATGAAGCTGGAGACAAGACAAAGCCTACCAGGCTGCCCTTGCTTGCTCTGGTGACTGCATCTGCACAGGGACTGTTCCTCTTTGCACAGTCAGCATTTGGGTACCCTGCTGGGCTGCTTCCTGAAGGTCCTGCGCTTCTGAAGCCTTCTACTATGGCAGGTGCCTTTTGTATTTCCCTGACTCCTGGCATTGTGCTGGGCACAGAGTGGCCCACATAAAACGAGCATGGTTTAATTTTGGAGATTGTACTCCTGAAGACACCAAATGATTACTTGGTTTGTTTCTAAAACAACTTTTTCTGTTTTGACAATATAAAATTTACTATGCTCCAGCAGTTTAATTTGTGTCAAGTAGTCAGCCATACTTTTCAAATTCAACATAGTAGAAGGCTATGACTTGGAGGAATTATAAAATATAATATGTATACTATTGTATTTATGTAAAAAAAAAAAACAAACCACCTGTAGGTATGTAAAACTGTATAGAAAGTGATCTGGAAGGATAAACACTAAGCTATTTAAATTCCATGGAGAAGGGAGTAGGATCTGGGGAAGTAGATGACTCATATATTATTTTACAGTCATGCATGTTTTAATGTATTTTCTAATTCAGTAAAACAACTAATAGGAAATAATAACTCTTGTCTTGAAGGGGAGAGCCAAGTTGATCTTACATTTTCCTCTCACTCAGCTTTGCATTTTTAAGGGAGAATCACTGTCAGGTCCCATAAAATTTTTCTCTTCAAACCCAGTCCTTTCAAAACCAGTCAGCAGATGGAGTCCTCAGAGGGATGTGCTGGTGAATACATGGAAACAAAAACAAAATCACCTACAAGTGCAGTTAATCTATGGGTCAAATGAGATGACAGAATGAAATGTCCTTTAGTCAACATATTTGGCATTGTGATTTCTAATCAATAGTGAACATGTGCCTGAACCTATGACTGATGAGAAAGGTGTACATGCAGCTCTGTCTCCTCGTATGGTATGGGAAGGAATCCAAGATGTCCTGGTAAGCAGCAAGAATGAGATTCAGAAACTATAGATATTTAATCCCATTGGAAAAAATTTGAGGGAATGTATACAAAACCATTAACAGTGATTTATCCTATGGGGAGAGAAATTGATTTTAAGAAATCTTTTACTTCCTAAATTACAGCTTGAAAATTTTTCCTCATAAAAAGTTTAAAGAATGCTATGTTTACATGTTAAACATAGAGTTACCATATGACCCCCAAGTTCCTAAGTATATAACCAAGAGAAAAGAAAACATATGTCCACATAAAAACTTGCATATGAATATTTGTTCATCATTAATAATACCCCAAAGTGCAAATAATGTAATTTTTTTGTTATTAATCAACTGAGAATGGATTTATAAAATGTGACATCACCATTCAGCTATAAAAAGGAATGAAATATTGTACATACTACAACATGGATGGACCTTGAAAATATTGTGCTAAGTAGAAGAAGTCTGTCACAAAGGAACCTGTATTGTATTACTTCATTTACATGAGATGTCCAAAATAGGTAAATATAGTGACAGAAAGTAGATCAATGGTTATCTAGGGCTAGGGTGAGGGGAAGAAATAGTGAGTGACTCCTAACGGGTAGAGGATTTCTCTTTGGTGTGATGGAAATGCTCTAAAATTAGATTGTAGTGATGATTATACAATGATGTGAATATACCAGACACCACTGAATCGTGCACTTTAAATGGTGAATTGTATGACATGTGACTTATATGTCAGTGAAGGTATCTAAAAAAAATAGAACTTAAGGAAATAAACATTACAACAGGAATGATAAAATAAGACCAATAGCACAAGTCACTTAAGAATAGGTAATTATAGACATGCTCAGAATCACTTAATGTGATGTTTTCTTAGTGAAAGATTGGTGCTGTTGACCTCAGAACCTCCTGTCTACTGCAGATGGAAGTGTCCAATAGGTTAGATGTGTGTGGAGTAGTGAGGATGGAGTTACTCCCAGATGCCAGATGAGTGAATCAGTCATGGAGATGGATGACAAAACAGATATTGCAGCTAGACCACATTCGTCAGTCTCCCTTCCTTTTAAATAAATTCTCAAAGCACAACACAGCTTCATACTGGAAAAAAAAAATAGCTTCTCTATTTGAAGATTATTTCTCTTGAAACATGCCAGCAAATCTCTGACTTTTACTGTTCTCTTTTGATTTGTGCTTTTCTCTATGACTCACAATGCCTTTGCCCCTTCCTTCTGACACTGACTGCCTTCCCTCTTCCTCTCTCTAACTTGTGTAAGCAAGGTGGAGCTGTTTTGAATTTCCTAGTAGTCATAGATGAATGAATGCCTGCATCTTAGATATACTGAAGACATGTTGAGAAAAGAAAGAAAAGACAAGGGCTTTACTGAGTAGCAATTGGAAAGCCCTTTCCCTATCCTGTTTTTCCGGATTTAAATAAAGCCAAACAGATTCACCTGCTAAATTAAGGGCCATGATCCAAGTTTGCACTATGTTATGTAAACCTTCTAGGAAACGTGGCAGCTGTAGAGCCAAGCATATTCCAGATTTAAAATAAATTAATCCAAAGGATTAGATTTGAAGGGTATATTTAGCACTAAGTGTGTTTACTCTCAGCGATAAGAAGTTTGATGCTGATCCATTAAAGAAAAATGGGGTCTCGTACAAGCTGTGCCTGCTTCTCATATTTATCCATGCACACGCACTTCACTTGAGGTTTAAACTGTTTGCTGAGAGTGTTCATTCTTTTAAAGATTATGTTTGTTGATTTTTATTCCAGTGTGTGGTAGGCCTCTTTGGTAGCTAGGAGATTGCGTCGATGTTTGCCATAGAAGGTGCAGACGATGGCACACAGGCACTTCTCAGGTTTGCTCACAGGTTTAACTAAAAGGAGAAAAGGCTAGGAGCCAGCCTGGTTCATTCCTGGCCTCTGAGTGAGGACAGCCTCACATGAGAGTTTCCAGGGCTGCCTGTTCGAATGAGAGCCTTTTGAACTGCTTGTTGGTGTTACAAAACTGGAGGACAAAGGCAGTGAGGACCTCAATTCAAGTTTTTGAATATCCATTCAAAAAATTATGCCCTTGAGGGCATTTAGGACTGCTAGGGTCTGGTGCATTAAGAAAATGTGAAAAATTATTGATATATTTGTTGAATTATAAAATGAGGGGTAACTCATTTTATTGTAGCCTTGTTACGACTTTATCATTAATGACTTTATCATTAATTTGTTCTGGGAATTTGACGAGCTTATAGAAATACCAGGCATGTCCTTATTTAATTCTTATAAGATCCTGCAAATTAGGAGATTTTTTTTTTTTTTCATTTCATGGATAAGGTCTTAGATTTTAAGAGGTTAAGTGATTCTCCCGAGGTCACACAGTTTAGAGTAGAGCCCAGATTCAAATCCAGGCTTATCTGACTCCAAAGCCCACGCACCCTCCGTTTGACCATGGTATTTTTTTTCTGTTTGCAAAAACTCTCCAGTGGAGCCTGGAATCTCCTTTGAGGGTCACCACCTAGGTGCATTCCTAGGGAGGCTGGAGAACTTGGGCTGAGAAACCAACTACAAGCATATCCAGAGGCAGTCCAGGCAGAGGCCAAGAGGGCTCCCAGCTGTGTTCTAAGTGTCCATGACATTGGAAGCATTGAGACATAGAGAAAAGGGGCAAGTCGAGAAAGACCCCTGCCTCAGTGACGTTGAGCTTTTTGTCCTTGCTCCTTCTCCAGAGACTGCTTTGTGGTTATGCCTTCTGGTTTCACCACGTCAGTGAGTTTTTAGTTGTGCAACAGAATGCTGCATGGAATGTTTTTCTGTTTCCCTGGAGTTGGTGATTAGGTAGTTTCTACTCACTGAGTCCCGAGAGGAGGCATCTAGGAAAGTCAGTGGTAGAGATGAGGGGTGCCTGAAAGAGAGGGATCTCGGCCCTCGTTTCCTGGTCGGATGTGTACCATGCTTGCTGATGGTCATTGTGGCAATATGCAGAGGGAAGAGAATAGGAGAGACTGCAGTGCTTAGTGGCTGTGGAGCAGTCTACACTGTCTCATCTTGACAGGGCAAGAATGGAAAAATTTCCCGTGGTCAGTGAGAAAGAAGGTTGAGCATGGGCCATCATACTAGAACCTTCTTCAGAGAGCTTGCCTGCCAAGGGTCCCCAGCTGTAGGAGACTGTATATTCTGGTGAGGGAAGCTGAGGGGACTGGAATTAGATTTGAAGGGTATATTTAGCACTAAGTGTGTTTACTCTCTGTGATAAGAAGTTTGATGCTGATCCATGAAAGAAAAATGGGTTCTCACGTAAGCCATGCCTGTTTCTCATATTTGTCGATGCATACACACTTCACATGAGGTTCAAGCCATATTGGGTCTCTGTGTCCATGAAATGTGTACCTCTAAGACCCACATACATGCCTTAAGAGGTTCAGCACTTGGATTCTTAACACTATAGAAGGCAGTAAAGGTCAAATAGTGTTAACATGAAGGACAGTGGCAACTAGTGAAGAGAGAATTGCAACCTTGCCTAGCTTGGCAGAGAGAAATTTGCTACTTCTCTTACCCCTCTTCTGCATACCCTCCATAAACAGATAGGGCCTAGAAGAAGGAGGAGAGGGAAGGAGAGCCAGAGCAGACCCTCACCAGTCCAAACAACCTGTAATGAGGGAAAGAGATAATTTTGCATCATATATGGGATTGGAATTTTAAATTAAGATAGATGGAGATTTTCTGTCTGAACATAATCCTACAACTATTAAATCTGCCCAAGATGTTCTTTTGGGATGGGAAAGGAGGATTTTGATTAGAAAGTAATTGCAAGGAATAAAATAGTCTCATTTTCATGTTTGTACCACAGATTTCTTTGACCAGCTGTGTATGGCAGGAGAGAAAAGGACCATTGTTTGTCAGCCTGTGTTAGGATATGGCCAGTCCTCCTGCCAAGATCAGCCTTTACTGTCATTTCCCAACCATGTCAGACAAGATGCAATCATTATTCAGGCATAACATGTAGCGACAGAAATCTTAGACTAGACAAGGCTGACTTTTAACTCGATGTCAGTCTGACCTCTGGCTGAGTTTTCATATGTTTGATTGATGTAGGATTAGGGGAGGACCTGATGCCATTTTCTTCATAATCCTGGCCTGCTCACCCCTTGCTTCATTCTGTTATTCAGTCATTTATGCAGCTGGTCAGCCAGTCAGTAAGTCTTCAGTGAGTGCCTGTTCTGTATCAGCTTGAAGGTTGGGATTAGGGCCTTAATAAGACTGACATGGCCCTCAGGGAGATTCTGTTCTCCATCCCTTCTCTCATTTACTACTGAGGTGTTTTTTTGTTTTGAGACAGGGGTCTCTCTCTGTAGCCCAGGCTGGAGTGCAGTGGCACAATCACAGCTCACCACAGCCTCAACTCACTAGACTCAAGTGATCCTCCCAACTCACCCTCCCAAGTAGCAGGGACTGCAGGCATATGCCACCATGCCTGGCTAATATTGTTTATTTTTTACAGAGGCGAGATCTCATTATGGTCTCGAACTCCTGGTCTTAAGCAGTCCTCCCTCCTCAACCTCCCAAAATGTTGGGATTACAGGCGTGAGCCACTACACTCAGTCTCATTACTGAGGTTTTAAATGCCCAGCTTTCTCCTATCTCATCTCCTCTGGTGGATCTTCTCTGTCAGTAACACCTTTTTTTTCATTAGACCTGCTCTCTGCTGCCATAGATAAAGTCTAAATGTCTTAACTGAGCTTGTTTTAGAGGATGCTCATGCTCTCTCACCTCCTTTCTAGCTACAGCTGCCAAGGAGGAGCCTTTTACTCTATAGGGGAATGGTGGGCCAGTTGATATCGCCCCACCATCTATCATATCCTCCCATGTCTTCTCTTCCTCACTGCTTCATCTAGAGTGCCCTCCCCTCTCTCCATTCTTCCAGGTGATCTTCAAGTCCAGCTCACACTTCCACTCATTCATGTTACTGCGGATCCCCAGGCCAGACAGTGTTGCTTTCGATGCCCTCTCCTGCCACTATCACGGTCTCTCCTTGCTCAGGTCCTGCCTGCTCAGGTCCTGCCAGTCCCAGCAAATATTAATATTGCCTGTGACCATTTGGTGCCAAGTGCTTTCCCTTCCATGCTCAGTTGTAAGCTGAAGATGGCAAGAACAGTTTCTTGTTTACCTTTTTATTCCATTCCATCACTGGCACACAGTAGGTGTTCATTAAGTGTTAATTGAGAAATGGCTGGGTTATTTTTGTTTCATTTATGAGCTTCTTTGCACCCAAAGATGCCGATATTACCGAACAGCAAAGTGACCTGTGTTAGAAAACTTTGTGTAGTCCTACTTTTCTCTTGTCTGTTGTGTTTCTGAAACATAAATTGAAACTGGAATAAAACTCTATTGCTTTATCTACTTGAGAAATTTTATGATAGGAGCTGAAATAAGTAACTTTTCTTTAGTTATGAAATGGAGTTCTCAGCCAAAGGGACAGTGAACCAAATTCAACTTACTAATAGTGATGGGTTTATGTAATGGGTACTATATATATTTATATATATGCAAATGTCCATGATGACTTTTGAATTTTCATTAATTGTAAAACTGTATTTCCTACTTTGGGAGTTCAGCTTTTGCCACATAATATCTCGATCAATCCTGTAAAATAGGAGGAAATCCTGAGAAATTATTATTTGGCTGGTAGATGAAATGTTGCCACCGTCTGTTCATTATGAGAAGTGCACGTTGACTCTCAGGAAGTTGGTTGTCTTGTGTGGCTCCTCAGCTTGTAAGAAAGGCTGCCAATAAAGTCTCCCGGACCATAGAGCATCAGCTGTTTTAAAATGTATACATACAATCTTAATTATAGATTGAAATAATAATATTTTGGTTTTTCCTTATGACACTTTTTTTGGATCTCTGTAGTGTGTGGTGAGTAGGCTTAACTTAAATTACTTAAGATACAGAATAAACATAAGGTTCATGTAACATAAGGATACCTGCAAATGTCCTATTAATTTGTTGTATTTTATGAAGCTTTTTGTAAAGGATGAGCCAACAGCTTTGAAAAATAGTTATACCAAGAAGTGATAATTTATAATAGTTTTAGAAGAATGTCTGTAGATCATTTAAGAAAAACTTTCCCCTTAAAGTATTGAAAATTTTAAAAGCATGAGCATGTGTTGTCTTAAAATAATATTATTTTAGTATTTTTTTCTTGATTAAGGATAAACCCTTTATTCTCATAGCATGCATGGGAGAAAGGTGACACTCTTTTGTTGACTGGGAACAGTGTATGTAACCCTGTTGTAAGTCAAGGAACATCTGCATAGATACTGTATGATCTATGCCCTTTCTCTTGATGCCTGGTAGTAGTCCAGGCCATAAACAGACCCTAACTTACTTTGCCATTGCTCTACTGAAATACTCATGGGTTTTCAATTTTTTACTATTATTTTTAAAATTGCAAGAAATATGTTTGAACATGTTTTATTAAGCTGGTACTTTTTTCTTTTTTTTTTGAGTTGAAGTTTCACTCTGTCACCCAGGCTGAAGTGCAGTGGCATGCTCACAGATACTGCAGTTTCGACCTGCTGGCTTCAGGCAATCCTTCCATCTCAGCCTTCCAAGTAGCTGGATCTACAGGCATGTACCACCACACCCAGCTAATTTTTAAAAATTTTTTATTGCAGAGACGAGGTCTCACCACGTTGCCCAGGCTAGTCTCAAACCCCTGGGCTCCGGTAGTCCTCTCGCCTCCGCCTCCCAAAGTGTTGGGATTATAGGCGTGAGCCATCATGCTCGGCATATGCTGGTACTTTTAATTTTGTCAGATTCTCAGAAGTAGGAGATCTGGGTCAAAAAATATATGTTTTTTTTTTTAAAGTTGGAGTCTTACTCCGTCACCCAGGCTGGAGTACAGTGGCATGCTCACGGCCACCCCAGAATCCACCTGCTGAGCTTAGATGATCCTTCCCCCTCAGCCTTCCAAGTAGCTGAAGCTACGTGTGTGCTACCACATTCAGCTAATTTTTGATTTCTTGTAGAGATGAGATCTTGCCAAGTTGCCTGGACTGGTCTCAAACCCACAGGCTCAGGCAATCCACTCGCCTTGGCCTCCCAAAGTGCTGGATTTCAGTCTGAGCCACCAAGCCCGGCCAACTCAGCTCTTTTAACTTAGCTTTTTGAAAAGTACTGCTCTGCACTGTGGTCTTAAAAGCAGATTTTTTTTTTTCTGGTAGTGGGTTCCTGGCATAGGTTCTCTACTTGGGAAAGGCTTCCTGCACTTTGTAAGCAGTACAAGAGAATGGCCAGTGAATACTGTTTTCTGGGATGTGATGACCTGCTTAGTAAAACAGCAAGAATGGAGTGTTAGCAGTAATATGTCTATTCTAGAAATCTGTGTATTTCCCAGATAAGCAGGACTTGTTCCCTTCATGATTTTAACCATCCAGGGTAAGGGCAGATTTTGGGTTTAATAAATTTCTTCAAAGAAATTTATCATTTAACCCAGTTAATATTAAGAAACTCCAACTTCTCATATGTAAAGTTAAGATAATGAAAGTTATCAAAAGTCCATTTAGTAGGTCTCTAGATTTAAATGAGATGTCTGGAGGAAATGTCTCTGGAGAATTAGCTTCTGCATTCCCTCTCAATTTTATTCAGTGATTCCTGCTCAGGTTTAATTGGGTATTTGGGGTATCCTTGTTGGCAAATTACAATGATGCAACCATTCCTACTTGAAAACATGTATATTGACAATAGCAGACTGGAAGACATAATAATATAACTTATAGAGCCTTATATTGACAGTTGTTTCTGTAGGCATTCTTTTGCCAACCTACAGATTGTAATGTGTGATATTAAATTGGGCAACTTGGCTGCATCACAGAATTCCACATTCAGTATGGTATCTTTGACAGGGAACTGCAGAGGCGTTTCTAGAAGGGTTTATCTACAGAATGCTTCCCAGTGAAGAAAATGTAACCCACACCAACAATCGTGCTGTTGAATATTAACTTGGCTTGAGTGCTTGAAACAATGTAGTTCAGTATAGTGTTCCCATGATTTAAAGCATATTCTATTTCTGAGCATCTTTTGGAATGTTTTTATGGGTAGCCATGAAATGTTGTGGTTGTTTCATGTCCTGAATATAATTGATGACTGTTCTGTTTTGCTGACCACTGCAGCTTAATGCAATGGCAAATCGTGCTGCAGGGAAAGGCTATGAGAATGAAGACAATTATTCCAATATCAAGTTTCAGTTTATCGGGATAGAGAACATCCATGTCATGAGGAACAGTCTGCAGAAAATGCTGGAAGGTAAACCATTTCCTTATGCACAGCATTAAAAAAAATGCAATTAAATATTTTGATGCCAGAACGGGATAAGATAGTCTTGATTTTAAAATTGTTTTTTTTCTTTTTTCCAATGATGCTATTTACATAGGTGTGATAAGCTGGGAAGGATATCATATTGTAGTGGCTCTTTAAACACTTAACAGCCTTCTCTTTTTTAAAAGTGTTATTATGAAACGGTTTTGTTTCTTGGTGCTTAGCAGTCAGGGACTCTCCAATGGTACTTAACATCTAAGGAAAAAGTGCACAAGGGTATTTTTCTTTCTTCCTCACAATGTTAGTTTTATCCACATTCAAGGTGATTTGGAGATAAAGCAGTTCTACACTGCAAGCAATCACCAACTGTTCTTGTATGGTGCTCAGGTTCGTATCCTCAAGTTGCTAAATGGCATCAGAGGAAAGGATATTGGAGGTCCTGGTCCTCGTTTCCAAAAAGCAGCAACTGCTACAGTATACACACCAGTAACCCCCCTCCACTTCCACATATAGCAACGAGCACCACAAGACACACACCCACAGACTCACACACTCACATGGAGAAGAAACTAAAAAGATGGATTGTGTCACACAGAATTGTTCAGATGGCCAAACCAGCCGTAAGCTGATTAGCAGAAAGAAAGTCTGCATTTCAAGCAAGACCAGCTTCATCTACTACCCATGCTCCTTGTAATCGTGAAGAGGAATCTGGTGCCGTGGTCCTCCAGTTCTGGCTCTCGAGGGGACTGAGAACAGAAGGAGCAGGATGCCAAAACCATGGCCTTGTGCATTGGCTTTCATTGCTGTGATGCTTCTCTGGGGAAGACCTGGAGAGAGGGCACTGAGTGCTAGGGATCTGGGCTGTCTCAGTAGGAAATGTGGGGTCTAGAATGAACAGGGAGAAAGAAGGAACCGAATTATTTCACATTTGCCCTCAGTTACTTATGCAGTTCTCTGATCACAACAACCTCATGATAGGGCTGCAGAAATGTGTGTGTCACAAACAGGCTTAATGTCCATTCTCTTTCCTGGACTTACTGGTTCATCTCAAGTCATAAAGAAACTTTGAACATATCAGTTCACTTTTTTGGGGCTCTGTTACCTGCTGTACAAGGAGAAGATTAGATAACAGTTTCTGTGGGTCTCCTAGCTGTGACAGTTTAATGCCCCTGGTTGTAAACACTTATAATTGAACACTTTAATAGTTAGAAGAAAATCTTTTCTGTGTCTGCACAAATCGCAGCCCGAGTCATCTGCATCTTACTTCTACACATAATTTGCAGTGTCTCAGGCCACAGTGACAATACTCTGGGCATGATTGTTTGAGCTTCTTAAACTTTTAAGGATTTTCATGAGCAGTTTTTCTGTCCCTGCTAGGAGTTGTGTTTTGACATGTTAAAAAACTGGACTAACTTAGTACTGTGATTTAGAAAGTAGCCTAACTTTAGTATGAAGTGTGTTTATTATTATCAGAATCATTTGAAAAATTTAGTTTGATGTACTTTATATTTTTCATTTAGTAATCCTAAGATGATTTTGAGAACATAAATGTTCTCCTGTATAGAGAGTTGCTCCTAAGAGTGCTTATAACATATACATTTGGCTTTAGTTTTTAAGTTGGCATCTCTTGTTTCTCATTTGGAACCATTTCTTCTGCCCTCATGCCTAGGGTCTGACTCACGACTTTTTCTAAAGGACAAGCAAAATGACCCAGTCCTGGAGGGCAGCTCTGTTTCATAAGGAATCATGATGCTTCTACATAACTTTTCAACTATGTGCAGTGCAGTAAGCAAGGACAACTTTCTGGATGCATTTCAGGGGACTTGGCCAATGTTTGACTATCTGTTTTTACTGAGTAAATGATAAACCATTGTGGAGGCTCCACTTGTGATGAAGTGTTGCAATCAGATCCCATTTTTGGAGACTTTTTCTCCTTCAAACAGCTGCCATTGGCGTCAGAGAGATTTGAAGATCTGTACTGCTGGTCACTTGGTTGGCAGAGGAATGATGCTTTTCATTCATGATTATTATTTGCTTCAATTTTTTTACCACTGTTGTGGATATTAAAAAAGATTCTGAATACCAGAAATATAAAATAGTTTGCATTCTGCCTCCAAAGAGCTCTGTCTGTGAGCAAGAGCTGCAGAATATTTCATCAGAAACTGGAATGTAGAACCAAGTTCACACCCGTGTAGGTCCTTTTATGGAACTAATTTAGTTTTAACTTTGATGTTCTAAATCATACTTTTTGTTATTAGACTAATAATTTCTATGGGTCCTTCTGGCTTCTCTACCTCCAAGGAGAGAAGATGATGCCTTTCAGTTACATAGCAGTTTTGTAATTTATTAAGTGTTTCTCACTACAATTTCCCTTTGGATCATATAGATAACAGTTTTCCCCTTGAGTAGTAAAAGGACGCCCTGTATTTCTTTTTTTTTTTTCCTGTTGAAGCAACCAATAGAGGAGCCTGGAATTGGTGCTTTTAATGCCTGAGGAATTAGTTACCAGCAGAGGTGGAGCTTTTACCTCGTAGGCCCCCTTGGTACTGGAGAGGAAAAGTATGAGAGGAAGGTGCAGAGGTACATGGAGTTGTGACGCCTCTTTCTGTGAATCTGCTCTCAAGGTTGGCAGGGCTTATGGGAAAGACAGCAGGAACATCTTCCTCCTTTTTCAGCCAACATGTCATCTTTTGAATGTTGCCTAGAAAATTTCACTTGATTCCTATGATGTGTCTTGTGCTTACATTTCACATAAACATTAGATTAACATTGTTGGCTATTGTATGGTTTTATCTAACTGGCCACTTATTCATCAATTTATTCATTTCACTAAGAGCTGAGCAACTGCTCTGTGACAGGCTTCATAAATATTTTCACTTAATTGATTGTATTTGATTTTCACAGCAATAGTGTGTAGTACATGCTATTATCTGTACTTTGGAGATGAAGAAAGAGTCCCAGAGAGGCTAGACAACTTACTCTAAGATCATTTTTTAAAGAGGAAGCAGTAAGTTGAAACAAATGTGTAGAAGAATGTTTAAATTTATTTACTCTGGTAATTAAAGAAATGTAAGTTAAAACTTCAGAGTGCCATTTTTTCCTGTTTGAAAAATATCAGCCAGGGTTGGTGGCTCAGCCTGTAATCCCAGCACTTTGGGAGGCCGAGGCGAGTGGATTGCCTGAGTCTGCGGGTTCAAGACCAGCCTGGGCAACTTGGCGAGACCTTGTCTCTCTATAGTAAATCAAAAATTAGGTTTGGTAGCATGCTCCTGTAGTTCTGGCTACTTGGAAGGCTGAGGCAGATGAATTGCCTGAGCCCAGCAGGTCGATGCTGGGGTAGCCGTGACCATGCCACTGCCCTCCAGGCTGGGCAACGGAGTGAGACTCCAACTCAAAAAAATATATATTTATGCACAACTGCAAAATGTGTGGTAAAACTAGTACTTTAAATAATTATCGTATCATTGAAATTGCCTTAGAAAGACATCATATATTTTGTTCGGAGACATGCAAACCTCTTTAAGCCACTCTTTCCAATCTGAAAATCGAGAGTAAATAATACCTCATATGGCAGATAATGTGTAGACAGCATCAGGCACAATACCTGCTTATAGTCAGTACTTTCATAAAACCAGTTATCATAGATGTCCATCCATTCTCATCAAATAGTTTTGAAAGTGTTCTATATGCTTGTATTGCATAGAAAAACGCTTCCTTAGATCGGTTACGGTGACTCACACCTATAATTTCAGCACTTTGGTGGGAGGATCACTTGAGTCCTGAAGTTCAAGGCTTTGGTAAGCCGTGATCACACTACTGAACACCAGCTTGAGTGACAGAGTGAGATCTTGTTTGTTTGTTTGTTTTTTAAAAAGCTTCATTTGTTCATTCAAAAAAGTGACCACTTTTCACGTATGACAAAAATCACAGTGAGAAATCAGGAAGAAAATATCCTGCTTGTTTATTAGTGATCTTGCTGAGGGTTATCCATGGGTGGGACATGGTAGCATGTTGAACTGGATGTCAAAGCCAAAAACTTGATTTGACATTATCTCAGGAGAGGACAAGAAAGAAACAAAGTGATTTTGGGAAAAACTAGTGACTATTTTCTTCCTGATTATGCTTTATTCTGCAGTTCACTAGGACAATTCAACAATTAAGATTTTTCAGCCTTGGAATTATTGTTTAATATTTTATTAGTCATGATGGCAAGTTTTTGAATAAGGATATTTATGAAGGGTGCTTATAGAAGAAAGTGTGTTATATCAAACTAAACGTAGATGTGGGCAGTTTTGGTGGTGAGCTGTTTTCCCATGGGGCTGTATTTGGGGTTTGGCGATTCAGTATTTGCTTGCCAGTGACAATATGGTCTCAAATGTGATGAGAGTGTTGGTCCTGGAGGCTTTCTCATCAGGTGTGGGGAGTAGGGAAGGCCCCCTGCCTCCCCCTCCCCCCCCCCGGCATCTGCCGCTCATTTCACCACCTCAGTCATTGGCTGCCAGCATCTCAATCCTACATGCTTCCTGGCCTTCTTGCCAGTCCCCACCACTTCTTATGCACCCCAGACTTTCCAGCCTCTCAACACCCCTGCTCTTCCCAGTCTCAACTTCTCTATCTCTATTTGTTTTGAGTCTCCTATTTAGACTTTACCATTCCTTAAGCCCTCCCTTCAATTCAGTTCCTATTCATCCTGGCCCAGTTTTTATGATGGCTTTTAATTATTCTCTATTTGTAATACAGAAAGTGGAGTCAAGGGACCTGAATTCCTGTGTTGCTGCAGCTGAGCCCATTCCTCCTCTATAAATTGAGATGATTCCATCTACAATAGTTAGGAGATTGTGAGGGCTCACTGAAAAAAACTGCCAAGCCTCGTTACTTACATATGGTGGATGTAATAATGTAAATGGGCATACAAATTTTTTATTTTCCACAAAGTTTTACACACCCCAGCAGTTAACATTCATATCATACTGTCTTTTCCATGTGTTAAGCCTAAGACAGCACAGGCTACCCCCGTATATTGGGAATTTGTCTTTAGACGTAGAATTCACATTCATGAAAACTACAGCATTCTCATGTGAACCCGCTGCTTGATTTTGTTTAGGCCAATTGAAATTAGCATTCTAGAACATATATATACCTATACTCATACATTATTTGCATATACACATACATATTTATTATACATACGTGTGTATGTATACTATGTTCTAAGCTTCTAACTCTAGCAGTGCTAACACAGTTATACAGAATTAGACTTCATTGCATCTTGCCATTGTATATTATCAGATTCTTTCAAAGAAAACAAGGATATGTGAAAATGGCTTTCAGGGTATTATTATTAGTCATATAGATTCCAGAAAATATCATCATGAATAGAGTTGGAAATGTTCTAAAGAATGATCTTTTTTTTTTTTTTGAGTTGGAGTCTCACTCTGTCACCCAGACTGGGGTGCAATGGCCACTCCCAGCCACCACAGCCTCAACCTGCTAGGCTCCGACAATCCTTCCAC